AGGACACGGGATACAGGGAAATTGTGCATAAACTCACCACAAAGTGAAGCCGACGGACTTCCTCGAAGTCAGAAAACACTCATGTTGATCCTGCCCCTGCAGCCCCAGAAGAACCGACCTCGGGCACGACATGTTCGCTCAAAGGAACCACCAGCCGGGAGTCAGGCACTCTGGGAGCAGAAGACTCGGGTGACGCCCCTTCCTCGTAAGTGTGAGCCCGACAAGCACCGCTAAAGGCTCCGTCGTGCCACGGGTGCCAATCCCTCTTATTGCCATCGTCCCTCGGGCCGGAGGCCAACGATTCCTTCCCCTCTTCAGAAAAATATTGCCTCATCCCAAGGAACCACCTGATATCTGCAAACGGCAAATCCAGTGCAAATGAAAGAGGAAAGTATTACCTCGGGTATACGAAGGCAAGACAAATGCGGCATATGCACATACCTTGGTATTACGCCCCCATTTGGTATGAAGCACAACTCGCCACCTGCGCTCGCCGCAGGACGAATGGGTCACCAGCCTTCGGACCCAGCCGGGCAGATCATGGACTTCAATTGGCATCCACGAAGTTGCTGCAATAAGGGATACAACATTATTACTCAGTTGGTTTTCGCTATATGCGGAATTTGAAAGCGCCAAATGCCTCGCTCACGTGCATGATTCCACCCTTCTGGAAATGGCAAAAACTCCACAGGGATAATATCGGTCGTCCGGACTCGGATAAACCAACTAGCCCACTCTCGATCCCCGCCTTCCTCGTTATCAACAACAAAGGGCGTGGACGAACGACACCTCAGAGTTAGCAGGCCTTGATGATAAAAGGGCTGATATAGCCTGACAAGATGGTCAAGCGTGAATTCAAGCCCAGCTTTCTCCGCGAAGAATCTTATCATCAATGTCGTTCGCCAAAATGACGGATGAATCTGTGCCAGGGTGACCCGATACTTCGAGCAAAAATCAAGCACAACCCTATCAGGGGGGCAAATGTAAAAAGGTATAGGTATACGCTCAAAAATCCATCAGTGGAGTCCGCGATGCCCTCATCTGGGGAAAGCACCTGCAGTGTTATCCCCTCGCTCCACCCATAGTACGTCCTCGCCATTTTCAAGTGTTCCTCTCTTATCTAGGACACTGTCTCTAGAGCAAAATCCCTCAGTTCCTGAGCATCAGGAGCAGCGCCCCCCCATCCCCTGACGGATCGGCCCCCAAGTGGTTTCCATGACTATGGTGAAACTAATAGGTCAAGGCAAGGGCGCGCACCAACACTTTTTGCGCCTAAAAAGATGAAGTACCCCGTGCCAAAGCAGAAAGGCGGCTATTTGAAAATAGTAAAGTCTTGCGAAGGAACTGAAGCCGCCCCACATATATGCCAGAAGCAGCGACAATTTGCCTGCTCGAGGCAAGCCCCGGGAAGCCAACAACCTCGAAACAAATCGACGGATCGGTACCTGATCCAGAAAGCACCCTTCAACGAGGAGTCAAGACTCGAGGGGCCATTCATATTATCTCCAAGCTCGAGGCAGCACTATACATCAAGAACCTCCGGCCCAAAGAAGTCGGACCTCAGTAAGCTTTAAACGCTGACACTCGACGCAAGGCAAACACCTGGTCTCGTGATCCCCTCTTTCTGAAAAGAGGAATAAACACAAGAAGCTCCAATCACGAAAGCTCTACGAAGGTCTGAGGAAGCGCCCAAATATATGTAAACTCCTCAGCAGAAGTCAATCTTATACATTCTAAAAGGGTTATCTACATCAAGATCAAGAGGGACCCCCGGGTACCCGAAGACTGAATGACGAGCGCAGTTGATGCGTCCATAGAAAATCGAACCGACGATGGTACCTGCACCTTGGGAAGTAAGAATCAGGGAGTGCAATAAATGAGGTCGAAAAGCACGAGCCTGTGGATGTCCCATCACCGCGAAGCTTACGCTAGGGGTCACATCATCGATATGGCATCGCCGAAAGAAGCTCGAGGAGTCAAGTGTCAGAATCATTTCCCATCACTTCATTATGGGAAATGCGGAGACTATCTGTACGCGGCGAAATCAGAAGACTTGATTTCTTGCTATCAAGACATTTCAGAAGCATGTCTTGGGACCCTGAGGGTGGGAGGCCGCGATCGAGTTCTCGGCCTCAGGGCTCGTCGAAGCCCGACTCGGAGGAAACAAGGAACGAATCTAGGATAGAGGGGCAAGTCCCCTAGGCACATGGCTACGTCTGACAGGCCCGGCTTATCTGGAGCCTATGTTGAGGCATCACGTCTAGTCGTCCCATCCCTGCATCTTTACATTTAATGCACTCTGTACCATACCGTGTTCCCTCGCCTATATAAGGGGAACCCATACCATTTTGTAAAGGACTGATGTTGCACCATTTCTCCACAAGTGCAATAATATCTCTCTCTTTTTTCTTCTAAGTTGTTCTCTCTCACTAGCCCGAGGCCGTTTTAGCATTTATCATTATTTTACTTGTTCTTCACTATAGCATTCAATATTGGCAGTATAGAGCCTTGCTCGATCATATCTCTGCCTGTTACCCCATTCCCGACTGCCCTCGGTAGCCCAAGCTCGGCTCGAACCTTGGCCCCAAGGCCCCCGTCGACTAGCTTTGCATCTGGGCAACAGGCCCCTTTAGTTTGATTACTGCCTCATTTTAGCTCGCTTTTCATCATTATACTTAGCATTCTTAGCATCAACTTCTCTCGGGAATAGATCACGTATTTTTAGAATCTCATTTACAAATTTAATTGTTGTTATCATTTCACGGTAAACAACTAACTAGAGAGCTAGTTGAGAAATCATCAAGGGGAATGGGACTATGGCCGAGAATAAGTCATTGTAACGGTAACTCTACCTAGAAGACTGAAGATCCCAAGATCTAGGTTCAAGGAGATCAAACAAAGTCATTAATGATGGTTCAACATTGTCAACTAAAATTTTGGTCCATTCTCGTGATGAGACAATGTTTAGTACCAAGGATAAAGCATTAAGGCTTTTTAATGATTTCTAAATTTGATACAGGGTATATCAAATAGTGTATCTATAGGATGGCACATTTAGGAATTACCTATGTAAGTGTGAAGTGTTAGCCGCTTCAAGGAGAATTTTGTAAGGCCAGTTCTCTATGCACTTATGAAACCAGGCATTATTCATGGCTGAAACGAACACAACAATGAGAACTAAAGACGGTTAAGGGTTGGTTGTGTGACTTATGGTTGTCTAGGTATACACTAAATATCGACGGTTCAAAGATATCAAATCTACCGGTTGAGCGAGTATATCCGACATAAGTTCACTACAGAAAGTTCAAAGGGCTACTTATCCAGATGCAATAAATCATTGCTTGCGAATCACAAAGTTTTTCATGCATATTTCCGTGATATAGTTGTTCCCCATTCATGTGGGGGTTGTTGAGGTTTTAAGCTATATTAATGCTTAAAATAGGGTGAATAGGAAATGGAGGAAAATAAATATTTTAAGTGAAAGTTTAAGTTTCCCTCCCTTGACAAAGGGACATTGTCCCATATTGGAAGAGGAAGAGGTTTTTGATGGGTATATAAGCAATTGCTCTTATTCTAGCTCTTAAAGAGTTGAGAAGAAAGCAAGCCTCGCGCCGTCGCCGTCGTCGCTCGCTCTGCTCGGCTTCGGATTTGGTCAAATGATCGATTTATTGATTGATTAATTTTTTGGACCAAATTTATTTGTTAATAGTAAAATATTAACAGAAATGTTATTAAATATCCGTTTTAATAACAGAATATTAATATTAAAAACGAATATTAATATTAAGCACATTGTCAGTTTTCCACTTTTCAGTTTTGTAACTGAAAATTAACCTTCCTCTTGAATTCCCGGTTTATTATTGAGTAAATAGTCATTTATGTTATGGCATTTATGCTATGGCCATTTTGAATAAATAGTCATTCTGAAAAGTTGCATCTCTTTAGTTTTCAGCCCAACATTGGCTATAAATACAACTCCATTCTCTCAGAATTTCCATACGATTTTCTGAGTTCTCCTCCTTTCTTCTGCATTGTTTTATTTTCAAAGAAAACAACAGTAAGTGTGATTTGCTACCGAACTTTGTGTTCGCTGAAACACTGGGGTTTGAAGTACCACTACATCAGTGTGTAATTCGTTCTATCCTAGTAGGAAATAATCCAAACCTTGAGTACTAGAAGAGGATTAAATTCCTTAAGGAAACGCTGTGAATTCAGTGGGCTCTGATTAACTTTTGTTTCATTTACATTTTCTGTCGATATGTTATTCTATTTTTTCCAGAATTAGTTTACAAATACAGTTTGTTAATAATAACTATGTAAGGAGGGAAAAAAATAGGGACAATGAAAATCGAATTTGCAAATTGTAAAAATCTTTACAAGTAGGACTTAAGGTGTGTTTGGTACGATTATCTTTTGAATTTTTTTTTAAGACAATAAGTCATCGTTTGATCACAAAATATATTTCTATAAAAGGAAAAAGATGATCTCATTCACTTGCTAGTGAATTTGTGGAACGCTCATTTACCCAGGAAAAAAAAAAAAAAAAAAAAAAAGGAAAACACGCTCATGCTAATATGGGGCTGCAACAAAACCTCTAGATATTTTTTTGCTGACTCGGACATTATCCAATTAAAATTGGGAAGCGAGGACAAGAAACTCGGTATACAAGGACAAAACCGTCATTTCATAATGACATACTCCGTCTTTAGTTCAAAAACAGCCAATGTGGGGTCCAGCTAAGTTTTCTCGAAAACGACTTCCTCTCCCTCCAGTAAAAAAAATACCCCCAAATATATAAAACTAATCACACAGGAAGCCACGTGTCCCTATATCGGATCCGAGAGAAATCAAATAGATCCGCCCTACTCAATTCAGCGCCCGTATTTAGATTTACCTCCACGTCAAACAATTCACTCCGACGTGGCACCTCGCCTGGCCTCTTACACAGCCACGTCATCACGAATATAATATCTTACCTTCTAAATTTCTCTCTCATCTTTTGCTTTAGCCTATCGCCGTTTCTCAACCAGTAAAAGACCTCCAAAAATCCCCTTAACAAATTTATATTTTTCCCCCATAAAAAGCAAACCCTAGAAGAAGAAGAAATTCGAAGAAAATGAGTCTACAATAGTGGGATGAAATATTGAATTTGGACTTTATACACAAATTTGTTCGTCCCTTTTGTTTTGTGAACCAATTGCAGTAGTAGACAGTATCAGTGGAAGCTTCTCTTTCTCATTAATGAGGTCCATAAGGTAATTTTCTGGAGGATTTGCAGTGTTTATTCTCTGAAAAATTGTTGACTTTGATTTGTTCTCTCTTTTTTTTTCCTTCTATGTTTGGGGTTTCGTTTCTATTTCTTTTTAAAATTGGAATATGGACTAAAGCTTGGATTTGAGTAATGGATTTGTATATTGAGTTTTTGTGAGTTTTGTTGGAAGATGAGATGCATTGTTTCCTATAGAGAAAGTTGTTTTTGTATATAAGATCTTGATTTTAGCTTGATGCTTTGACTCTCATGTGAACGGAAAGCACCGAGATTTCAACCCAGCACAGTTAAGTTTTATGTTGCTGTTCAGTTGAGTTCACTTTTTGCTGCCTAATGGAGAAGAAACGTAATTAGTTGCTTTTACAATTCAATGGAAGCTTGTGATCGATAATTATTTATTTTATAAAATATTGTTCTGTTTATAGATCCATCTCAAATATTAATAATAATTATATGAAGCTTCTATGTGTATAATATTTACATGAGGTGAGTTCTAAGGAGTAATGTGGTCAGTGAGGATTCATGTTGTCGACCCCAACTTATTTGGGACTTAGGCATAGTTGGTTTTGTAAAAATAAAAATCACAATTCATATAGTCTACCCCACCTTGTTTAGCACTTAGGCATAGTTGTTGTAAAAATAAGAAGCTTGTGATTCATGATTAGGCCCAAGTTCGAGGATATACATTAGAAAGTTTTCTCTATCAATTAAAGATGAGCTTATTCTGATGATAATGTAGGCAGGGGAAACCGGGAGAGGAGGTTGTTGTTGGGTGCATAAGGTTGAGCCTACTTGATGTAGGTTTTCTTTGGGGTTCCATTTTGTAACTGTTTTTTCACAGTTTAAGAAACATGCTTATTTTGTGTAATGTAAATAGCATTAGTTGGATATTTGATTATTTATCCCCGTGTATGTTCCATTTATCAGTTGTTTATAATAAAATGTTGACATTCATGCATTTTGGTTAAGGACTTGTTGAAGAGCCGTTTCATTGAAAGGTTGGTACTTGAAGACAACGTTATGTGCAACTTTTCTTCTAAATTAGACGTTTTTGCACCGACTCAATCCGCTGCCTTATTCATCATTGGACTTTTTGAATCTGGTTGATGAGAGGAATTCGGATGGACTCAAATGGTCCCCCAACTAAAGGGTTGGTGGAACTCAATTGTCATAGCATACAGGATGGCCAGAATGGAGTGAGGGATGGAATTACTGGTGAAGGACAGGGGCTTTCAGAGGAAGATGAGTCAAGGATTAATGAGGATGTCGAAGGTGGGAATGAAACACAGAGGGATTTGGTACATGTACAGTCTGTTCTACAAACACAGCAGCAACAGCCTCAAGGGCCTTTGGTTAGGTGGGACCGTTTTCTTCCAATTAGATCCCTCAAGGTTTTGCTGGTGGAAAATGATGATTCAACTCGTCATGTTGTTAGTGCATTGCTTCGAAACTGCAGCTATGAAGGTTTGTTCTTATTGCTTGCTTTTCCTAAAACTGTCATGAGTACCTCAGCAGAGGCAACTTTTCTTCTATCCAGTGTTTGGTGTGTGTGCACACATAACATATGCATAAGTTGATATTAGCTTTGTACCAGAAACTTGGTGTTGCCATCTCTTTTCCTGTTATGAATTTTTATGTTTCAGGCCACTCTCGTGCTGAACTTTGATGTTACAGCTGTTAGTCTTGAGTTAAGGGTTTTATGAAGTTTCTTGGCTTCTAAGATACATTAAATTTTACGTTTCTAAAACATACACTTGAAATTTTACTCAAACATCAAGTGAAACTAAATATACTTCCTTTTCCTTTCCTTTCCTGATATTTTGAGCTGTCAATGTTTCCTGGATGGAGTTACTGAACAATCTTACTTAAGATATTATTTTCTTGCTGTAAAATTTAGTTTGAACTGACAATGTAAGGAATAAGAAATTCCGGATTATCTTGTAGATTTAATAAGAAATACAACCCGATTTGATACCAAATAATGTAGCGTATTGGAGGTCATACTCTTGTAACGTCAGATGAGAGAGCAACAACAACAACCCAATAAAATCCCACAAGTGGTGTCGGGGAGGGTAGTGTGTACGCAGACCTTACCCCTACCCTGGGGTAGTAGAGAGGATGTTTCTGATAGACCCTCGACAATATATCAGTACCATCAACAGAAAATCATAGAAATAATGACAGCATCATAAGAACTAGAAAATAGATGAAAAACGATAACAATAACCAATAACCGGAAAATATATGAGAATTATTATTATATTTGTGATAGTTTTTGAACAACATAATAAGTTTATTATTTTATGCAACTTATCCCAGTCCCTGTCCAGACCCAATCCTTATCCGGTCATCTGCTTATTTTATAGAGGGCATGCTTTACCACATTCCTGTAGTGAATTATTTGATGAAACTATCCAGCTAATTCATCTTCATGCATCTGGTGATTTCCTGGAAATTTGGATTCTTGTCTTATCAGATTACCATATTGCCTTGTCCATCCAGTCTAAAAATTATCACATGGATGAAGTAGAGCGCAGCCTTGGTTTAACAAGTAGTTTAGTGTTTGGGAGATTCTATCATTATGATTTCAGATGAAAGAGAACGAAGATTTTTTTTCTGTTCCTCCAGTTGGCAATTCTCTCTCTGATCCAGCTCCATGCATCACATGATATCTAGCTTTTTGGATTTCTAATGTTCGAGTCACAAGGTGACGTCGAATGAACTTCACGATGCAATTTAGAAAAAGTCAGTTACTGTTTCTTTGGGTTGACGTATAACAGTTATAAGAAGGTGTATGTTGTGTCAATATTTTTTTCTTTGAAAGTTATAGTAGCAAAGTTCTTTCAAAGGGCTTTCAGGTTCAAATCCCAACGGCGATAAAAACACTAGGTAGGGGGTTTCTTTCCATCTATTCAAGCCTTGATGGACATAGTTACCGGCACCTATGCTAGTGGAATGTAGGAGGTATTCTGTGGAATCAGTCAAGGTGCGCACAAGTTGGCCCCAACACCAAAGTTATTAAAAAAAAAGTTCTTTCAAAGGGTAGCAAGACAGTAAGTTTAGTTTCGGAGATTCCGCAGTGCTTTGAAAAAACTTTTGTGTCATTAGCACTGCTGCTTTTTTTTTTTTTTAAATTTCATGCAGGAGTTGTCAAGTATTTTATGTAAGTTTAGTTTTTCAGTCAAAAGACAGAATCCTAGTCTTTGACTATGCTTTTTTGGTTTATACTACAGTGAAGTAGATTAGTATGCATTGTACCATCACCGGAAGAATCTAGTATACCAACTATCTATTATACTCAGAAGAATGTGAAAATTGAAATACAACATGATTGTAAACAACTGAATACAAGAATGCTGGGTTTACAAGAAGATCTATTAAAAGTCCTAATTTTTATACGCCTTCTTGATGATCTTACACATAATCCCTTGGTTCTTCCTCCTTTCTAAAATCAATTCGCCCATTTGCTATTAAGGCTGCACCCATAATCTGTCTTCCTCTCAAAAAGCCATTTGTGTTCTGGAGACTAACTTGGGGATCTCTCTTTCTGTAAGTAGTTTGGCAACTATCTTGTAAAGGCTTTTAATTATACTAATGGATCTAATATCTACAGGTTCTTTGGCATTCTTCTTTTTGGGAATTAATACTAAGCAACTATCTAATATCTACGAAGAGCTTCCATGTTTTGTCTTGTGGTGTTTGTATTGTGTTCCTATTCTAACCTTAACTTTTCCCTGAGCCATCTTCTTGCTTTAACTGCATGCGCATAAATTCCTGGTGCTTATTCAATGTTCTGTCTTGTAGTGTTTGTATTGTGTTCCTATTCTGTCCTTAACCCTTCCCCGGGCCATCTTCTTGCTTTAACCGCATGCGCAGAAATTCCTAGTGCTTACTCTTAAGAAGTTTTGCCTTCTAATTTGTTTATTTCCTGCAAAATCTACCCGGCCTGTGTCATAAGAGAATTCAGAGATGATAATTTTGTTTCTCTGATTCCTCTGTCTTGCACAATAGCTAAGCTCTCACGAACATGAAGTTCTGTATCACAGAGCATTTGTGTGGCTAGTTTGACTCCATCTGTTATACTTGTTATTGGCGCTCTTGGTTGTTGTGATCATCATTAGTAAGGCCCATAAGTCCATAAAAGTATCCTTGTGCTAATCGACAATTTTCTGATGTAGTTCCTTCTCCTTTCCACCCATTTGTCCAAATGTCCGTGGTTGAAAAAATGATTGATGAAAAACATAAATCTATAATCAGATGCCAAAACGAACTTCTTGCCAGACGAAAAAGACCAAACCAGAATTCAAGAGAGAAGTTGGACACACTCTAATCTTTTTTTCTTTCTCTCTCTTCTCCTATAAAATTGTTTGTTCTCGTTCAAAACATTCTCTCTTATGTAAAGCACTATCATCATGTAATGACTTTATTGCTTTTCAACTTATTTGAAAACTTTGGGTTTCCTTGAGGCTCAGTTTCAAAGGGAGTTCTTGACCATCTAATGACTTTATAACTTTTCATCTTATTGGAAAATTTTGGGTTTCCTTGAGGCTCAATTTCAAAGGAGTTCTTGACCAATTGAAAAAAATATTAGCTAACTTTTGGTGAGGTGTGCGTTCAACTTCTTGAAACCTTCATATTTATCATTTGTTTCACCTACTAGAATTTTCTCCCCTCCTAGTGCACCCATTCTTTCAATATATGTCTTGAAGGCACTTTGTTTTAAGAATTACGATGTTGAGCCCGATCAACCCGATAGTAAAAAAAATGTTGTAAATTGAGAAAGTCAATCATAGCACCTGACTCTTAACAAATATGCCCTTGTCTTGTTGAATCAAAAGCTAAACAAGGATGTACAATTAAATTCCAGGTTTAGAAGAGAAATTAGTCAAGCCTTTCTTGTGTCAAGCAAAGAGGAAGTCTGTAGATCTTGGCATGCACCTTCAAATATTCAGAATGAAATTCCATATTCGATGAGAGATTCTTCATGTACGAGGGTGCGAAAACTCAGGTAAGGACTGCGGGAGGAGTCTCGGATCATTTCCCAGTGGAGATGGGGTTGCATCAGGGATCGACTCTTAGCTCATTTTTGTTTGCCCTGGCGTTGGATGTGCTGACGGGACACATACAAGGGGAGGTGCCATGGTGTATGCTATTTGCTGATGACATAGTTCGGATCGACGAGACGCGAGGCAGAGTTAACGCTAGGCTGGAAGTTTGGAGACAGACACTCGAGTCTAAACGTTTCAAGTTGAGTTGGTCGAAAACAGAGTAATTGGAGTGCAAGTTCAGTGATGTGATGCACGAAGCAGAAATGGAAGTGAGGATAGATACTCAAGTCATCCTTGAAAGAGATAGTTTCAAGTATTTTGGGTCTATTATTCAAGGCAACAGGGAGATTGATGATGATGTTACTCATCAAATTGGAGGGCGGTGGATGAAATTGAGGCTCGCTTCAGAGGTTTTATGTGATAAGAATGTGCCACCTAGACTTAAGGGCAAGTTCTACGGAGTGATGGTTAGACCGACTATGTTGTATAGGGTTGAGTGTTGGCCTATCAAGAAGTCCCATGTCCATAAGATGAAAGTAGTTGAAATGAGGATGTTGAGATGGATGTGTGGACATACCAAGAAAGACAAGATTACGAATGAAGTTATTAGGGACAATGTGGGATTGGCCTCTGTGGAGGACAAATTGCGGGAATCGAGGCAGAGATGGTTCGAGCATGTGAAGAGGAGAAACATAGATGCTCCGGTCAGGAGGTGTGAGAGGTTGACCATGGCAGGTTCGAGGAAGGGTAGGGGTAGGCCTAAGAAGTATTGAGGAGAGGTAATTAGGCATGACATGTCATTGCTTAAGCTTACCGATGATATGACTCACGATAAGAAGGTGTGGAGGTTGAGGATTAAGGTTGAATGTTGATAGTTAGCAGTGTCTTTCTCCTGGGCTTTCCCGTAGTACTAGGAATATTGTATTTTCTTATTCATGGTTCAGTATTATTACATGATGTGTCATTTACGTCTGTTACCATATTACATTATTGTTACTATTGTTTGTTGCTTGGTTGCTTTATTTTCACTGTTCCCTAAGCCGAGGGCCTTTCAGAAATATCCTCTCTATCTTTATAAGGTAGGGGTAAGATCTGTGACTCTGCGTACATATACCCTCTCCAGACTTCACTTATGGGATTACACTTGGTTTTTTGTTGTTGTTGTTGTCGATTAGAGATTCTGCAGTGAAGGAATAAGGTGTTGACATCTTCTTCCTCTTTGCAAAGAGAGCATCTATTGCATTATGGGAAACATTATCAATTGTTGGGAAATGAGACATTTCCCCTTAAGCAACATCTAAGAGAATCATTTAACAAAAGGACATTACTATCCAAGTAGTTATCCAGGGCCAAGGAATCGAGCTTGTGAGTGAACCCTGAAGGGAATAATAGCATCTGTTTCAGCACATGAGAACCCTTTTGAATGTGGTTTCCAGAATATATAGTCGTAAGCTAAGTTGCTCGGACTCAGGTGGGGGTGTACGATACAGGTGCAAATCTAGAGATCTGATCCTTCATGATCTAAATTTAAGATTCGGGGATACAAGTGTGAGGATTCGGTTAAAAATAATTCAATTATCAAAAAATAGAATTATAAAAGTATTGCCTAAACTACGAGACATATTAATACTATAAGAAATAACCTTTGCATAGTTATCTTTCATTTACAATATAATTTTGCATTAGAACTCTAATTCTTATAGGAATAGATCTCTTGAAGACTTAGCAATGTGTCAAGCTTTCACTATTTTTTAATGGATAAACGCAAGTCTCATTTTTGAACTCTATACCCCTGAAATTTTCGGATTCCCTTCATTGAACGCTCATCTGTCTCGAGTCCCTCTTTGAAGCTCTCTTCTTCTCTCTCGCAAAAAAAAAGAAAAATAGGGAAAGAAGAAGTATGAACTGCAGGATCATTCAAGGCTTTCCCCAACTATGGCATATGTCAAAGTTACTCTAACTTTTGTCTTGATTTCAAAAATCAAATTGTATCTTGTCTCGAAATCCTCCCTAGCTTTTGGTCAAAGTACCCAATATCCATTGACCAGATCCAGTACGGATTCCACGCTCACACCAGTGCCGGTGACATGTCGACACGTGCGACATCGAAACTGATGAGTCCGATCAACTTAGATTATGAGGATTGTGTAGTGGATTTTAGGAGAAGGTGCATCAATTGCATGTAGTCTTCAAGAGAATGGTAAGGGGGATGAAAATGTTACACATAAAATCAAAATAAGATGGTTGAAATAGAGAAGTGTTACCGGAGTTTTATGTGATAGAAGGATACGTTTCACTTCTATGAAACGATTATAAGACCAGTATAACTCTGGAGTGAATGTTGGGCCGCTAAAGATATCAAGCAAAATTAGTTTGGTGATATTGGTGTGCGGTCATACAAAATTATGCAAGATTAAAAGTGATTACATTTGGTATAAGATGCAAGTGATGCATATAAAGGATAAAATGAGCAAATGTTGTTTGAGATGGACTGGTTATATCCTGTGTCGACCTCCTTAGATGCACCGGTTCATAGGTACGAAAAATAGAGCATAATGGAAGAAAAAGATCCATATAGGTGATACTAATTAGTTCGAAGTATGTTTTGGTCATGTTAATGCATCCGCTTTAGGTCTCGTGTTTTCTAGAAGTCCTTTAATCTTGTCTGAAATTTAATTGCCAGTAGAAAACATAAGGAACTTGTGGTACTTTTTATTCTTTTTTCTATTTTATTTTGTATAATATTGGTTTGAGCTGAGCTGAAATAAAGCGATATGGCCAGTGATGATTCATATAATCAATCGCAATTTGCTCATGATTGAGGTGTAGTAGTACTAACGGTTGTTATATGCATCATAGTTTGAAGGTTATCTTCCCTCGGTGGAAGCTACACTATAATTATAATACTTGTCCTTCAAAATCCCCCTTGTCAAAGGATCTGGATGGAGTAATTTCCTACTATATGTACAAGTAATCTATATATGTGCAGCTTTACTTAAGAACAAATATGTGCATCTTTTTTATTCAGAAACCTAAGAAGACATTATGCATCTCTTTTATGCTTCTTTACTTGATGCTCTGAAAGGAGCACTTGAGCCCCAACCATCATTTGCTTCCATTACTCTCTTTTCTTATATGTTTACTTGCCAAGTAAGTTGGCGTGCTTGCAAAGTGAAGCAGCTAAATATGCATAAGAGGGTACATATTAGAGGTCGAAATTCTAGTTCTCAGATAATATTTCTTTTCGTGGATATCTCTTCCGATTTTTGAAGCTCAAAATTGTTTGAGAGAGAATCAGGACTTGCTTATTTTTTATATTCTTGATTTGTTCTTGGTCTTGTTGATATTCTTATCAAATCTATTACGATGAAATAATGGCAGTTACAGCTGTTGGAAACGCCCTTGAAGCATGGAGGATTCTAGGAGATCTTGCTAACCATGTTGATCTAGTTCTGACGGAAGTAGCCATGCCGTATTTGTCAGGCATTGGTCTTTTGTCAAAGATTATGAATCACAAAACTCGCAAGAATGTTCCGGTGATTAGTGAGTATCATTCCCACATATTTATTTTGCTTACTAATATTCAAATGTTGCTTAATATTTTGACAATATGATACTTTTAAGTGCTACACCTGATGAGTTTTGTGTGCAGTGATGTCTGCTAATGACTCTATGGGTATCGTCTTTAAGTGTTTGTCAAAGGGTGCGGTTGACTTTTTAGTGAAGCCTATTCGAAAGAATGAGCTAAAAAATCTCTGGCAGCATGTTTGGAGGAAATGCCATAGTGTAAGTTTATGCAGTCATCTTCATTTGTAACTGGAACTTTATGGAATGCCCTCCTAAACCTCGGCACTGATCCTTGGTTTGGAAGCACCTTATTTGACTCCATTTGAAACTGGAACTTTTTAACCTGTCATTCTTGTAGACCTCTTCTCTTCATGTTGTTTTAGAAAGACACTAGCAGGAAGTGCACATTGAGTAACCCATTTTGCATTGATTTCTCATCCTCTCCTCAGTCAAGTGGAAGCGGAAGTGAAAGTGGCATACAGACTCAGAAGTCTACGAAATCTAAAAGTATTGAAGGATCGTTGAATAACACTGACAGCAATGATGAAGCTGAGAATGGGAGCTTTGATCTGGATGACCGGGACGGAAGCGACAATGGAAGTGGCACCCAGGTATTCTTTCTTCACGGCTATAGTTTGGCATGACTCTCTTCTATCAGTGGTCTCTTATGTCTCTTTGCATTTCCCCCATAGGAAAAGGAGGGGGACAACACAGTTTGTTCTTCTTTTCAAATAGTATCTTAAGTTGGAATAATTCAAGTAAAAGGAAGTTAATAATTTTTAGTTGTCAGACATTTCGTTGAAATTTCGTGTCTTTCTCAAAATTCTGGGTATCTTGATGGCATGACCAATTCATTAATACATTGTATCATACAAATAGCAGCTTCAAAATCTTGGTAGTCATTGCTCCCGCACAATCCCACCCACCAGGTTTTTTCAATAACTTATTTCTCTCATGGCCAATAGGCTACTTTACCCCCTTCTCCAAGCAGCGCGTGCAGATTAATATTTCTCTAATAGCCCACATAACATTCCTTATACAAAAGTGCTTTTAAGTGGTCATTTGCTTAACGAACATTTCTAGACTTAATGCGATAGATAAGCAAACAACAACAACAAGCCCAGTGAAATCCCACAAGTGGGGTCTGGAAAATTGTCCAGATATATACATTTTTATATATGATTGCCCTAGTACTTCTAAATAGCTCTGTAGAATGATGTGGTCAGCCAATTTATGCTGGCTTATTTACTGAGATCTCTGGCATGATTGTTTTGGATAATGTTAACTGTTTCTGATTATATAGAAAAGTGATCATATACAGTTCATCAAATTGTCAAAGTTGTCTGTTTTATTGAACTTGTGACTTAGGTCACATGTTCAAGCCCTGCACCATGCGAACTAAGCTTGGTATTTGAGTGGAGAAGGGTAGAAAGGAGGGGCCATTTCCTCGAGTTTCAAAGGCTGCAGTTGGTCCTAAGGGTTGGCACCATACAAATTTCTCGGTCATAGAAAAAATCAGTTTTATTGAGATAGCAGCTCAGCCTAAGAGTGATTGTGACTAATGAAAATGACTAAATCAGAAAAAAATGGATTGGCTCATGCATAATCCAAATGAAGCATGGTCTTGATCTCTAAGATTCCCATTTTCTTTGAGGAAAAAACTATAGGGTATCTGACAGTTACCTCCAATCTAGTTTAAGTAATTGCACTACCACTTATTCTTTTGCATAGATTCCCACCCCCTATCTTCGTTATAAGCTTGACCAAGAAAGGCTGATTCTATCCCTTTATCTTTTATTTATTGGGTTGCGCACGTGAGCCTTTCCTTCAATTTGATAGAACTTGTACTTACCTATTACGATATCCCCTTAAAAGATATGCTTAATAAAATGTTCCTATTATACTATAGTTATAATGAATTGAAAGATTAAAAATCTTTTCACATTTTATGAAAAAACAAATAATTCATTTATGTGTTGCGTAGAAACCTCTGCATGTAGATGCCTATAAAAGCAATGGTATCAAAGATGGACCGCTTAAGCTTTGAAGAAGGCTTGCAGGCCTCGCGATTCGCATCACTTAAGCAAATGCACTAAGGTGTTGGGCGGTGCATCTTGACAAAAAATGGCTAAGTGGATTAATTTATAAGATTCAGCCTCTCTTGAAAAAGCCTAAAAGGTGGCAGTGAAAAGGTTAATTCCTTTGTTGGTGGGAGGTATCATGGGGAATTAGTCGAGGTACGCGCAAGCTGGCCCGGACACTACAGTTATAAAAAAACAAAAAAAGAAGAAAAGGTTAATTCCATGATAGCCGCTCAAACTTGCCATGATTTGTAAGTTTGACACTCCAACTAACCGTATTTACACCTCTACTTGGCATATATGTGCCCCTTGAATACAAGTGTCTGACATGGCAAAGTGTGTGCGTGAAAGCTAAGTTGCGCAGACTCTTCATTTTTGAAGCCGAACCCGTCTTGATACGACACTGGGACGGGTGCACGTTTGGTATTCGGTCAACCAACTTCAGATACTTTAACCGGTGTCGATGGACAAATTTGTGGGGGGAATTGAGATTTTGGTTTCTCAAAATAAAAGATAAAACACTTTTAAGACATGAAAAATAGCATACCTTCAATATTATAGCCCTTTTATCTCATATTCACTGCTTCATATTTCAGGCCAGACACAAAGAAACCAAGAATTCAAAGGGTTGTGTTCTAAGTTTCTGACTTCTGGTAGACAGTAACTCAAAATTTAGAATATCTTTATAGCTCTATTTTTATAATTTTGAATTTTCTTAGCCGAATCGCAGCACCCGAATCCATACTTGGATCCGCACCCCCGAATGTTAAAATTTAGATTTTCCTGAATCCGACTCTCTGATCCGTACCCGTATTGGATACCTGCACCCTAGTCCAAGCAACTTAGCATGAAAGTCCATTTGAGCTCGTGAGATTCTTTTAAAACTAGTTGAGATGTGGAAATAGCGCCCTATTTATCCTTATTTTTCATTTTATATGCTTATGTTTCAGTTTATATCTGAAAACAATCCTACGATTTCGATATCTCCTACCATCTACGGCTCTCTAAAAAAATGGCCATTCCAACCTAGACTAATAAAAAATGGTAGTTGGCGCCGAACTTCTCCGCTTGTGCAGATAACTTCCTCCTTTCATATTTTATCCGACGCTACTTTTACCGGTACACCAACAACAACGACAAAAGTGAGAAGAAGAAGAAGAAGGAGAAGCAGAAAGTTAAGGAGTTTTGACAGAACCCAACACAACATCGAATTTCAAGCTTAAAGCTGAAACCAGAACTAGAAATCACTTTAGATTCATACAGGAAGACCTATAGAAATCTCAAAAACATCAATTTCAAACTTAAAGTTGAAACCCAGATCTAAATGAAGGAAGAACAGGTTGCTCGCTAATTTCTGCCTGATTCTTGCGGTGGGTTGCATTGGAAAGATGCTCCGCCGAAGAGTTGTTTAGCGCCTTTTAACTTAATTCGGCTGCTGACATCATTTTTCATCGGAGAAACAAAAGAGGGATATGGTGGTGAGGAGTAGAGGATGATTATATGAGAAGAAATAATGAAAAAGAAGGAGGATGGCCTAGCGGTGGGGAAAGGGAGGGGACTTATGGGCGTGGGTAATAGGTTTTGTCTTTGTCTTTCTCTCTTTTTCTTAGTTACACTTCTTATTTTTTCTTTCAAATTACACCTGTCGTTAAATAATTAGTTCGCTTGCCGTGTCAGTCAGTAGCAAGTGTATTTCATGCATTTGGTCTTATAGACATGGGCACCTTTGTCAAGGTAAAGGTGTTTACATGGTCACTAGGAAATTTAAGATGTCTAACTTACAAATCATGCCAAGTTTGAGTAGCAATCAAGGAATTTAGCTTATTGAAAAATACACAGCTAATAAAACAAAGCATTAATTGTTAGGCAAATTTTGGTGAAAATGCTAACTAGGAATATAAAATTAGAAATTTAACATTGGACAACTAAATATTAAATTTAAATTAGAAACTTAGAACACATTTGCATATAAATAAAAATCACCAAAATATTCTTTGTTTGGCTAAATGAGTAATATATTCATGGTTGGTTCAATTTGGGACAACTCAAAAATTGACTCATCCAAATCATTGGGTTAACTTGGACGCCTAATACGTCAGAATCGATCAATAAGAAAACTTTGTCAACAAATAGAAGTTAAATTTATTTGGTTAGTTAGGGGTATTTTTGTCAACGTGTCCACTTACTTTTACTCTTTAAACATAAGAAAAACATTTGTTTTGGTTTGTGGCTGTATCTCTCTGTTCACACACTTTCTCTCATTGTAATGGTTTTGACTTGGGTGGTTGGTTCGTTTTGACCCATTGTTTAGTCGAAATTGACCCAACCTATCTTTGACTCGAGTAAACTTTTAGCTTGGATCATGACGCATTCATTGTCTAAACCAGCTTTAAGCCTTTAACGCACCAAATTTAGTTTGACCTGCCTAATTGACACACAGACCATGAACAAGATAATTCATTTTGCATATTTATGGGCATCAGAAATTGAATTGTATGGTCATGTGTGTATATTCTGTCTAAGTTATTGTAGCAAACTCCGGAATCGTAAACTCCCAACATCCCAGATCCAACTTCTGATGTTAGGAATGCAGATAGGTTTGCAGTAGCTTTCGTCCATTATAAATCTTCTTATTATTATTCCTTTTTTTTTAGCAGAGTTCGTGGTCCAAAAGGGCCATAGAAGTTGACAGCCCCCAACCCATGTCACCATGGAATGAATTGGCCGATCCCCCTGATAGTACTTGTGCCCAGGTTGTCCATTCAAGGCCAGAAGCACTTAGTGCTACCTGGGTGCCTGCAACTGCCCCCAGAGAGTGCCGCAATGAGAAGGATGAACTTGGTAGGTGTGGCTCTTCCAAGCCCCATGGGAATAACAAAAAATCTCAGATCAAATTCTTTTTATGCTGTTTACTTTTGCTATTGCGTTTATCATTCAATCCATTATATATATCTATGTTGTGGCTTACATCTCAGGAAATGCTAGAATGGGTAAAGATTTGAACATAGGTGTCACTAGTGTTCCAGAGCTTGAAGGCCGATCAGGTAAAGCTATGGATGATTTAGCAGCTCCTATGAAGGACAAACGTTTGGAATTAGACCCCAAGGATAGTGAGAAAATGGTCAGAAACCTCAAGCACAACAAGGAAACATGGGAAGATGACCTGAAAGACATGGATGTTGGTTATAGGGGTGATCACACCAAAACCGGTACTCCTCTGGTAGAAAGTATGGCCAATGAAGTTCCGAAAGATCCTTCCAAGATCACAAACATCAAAGAAATAGCCACCTATGACAGTAAAGGCATGCCTTCTCTTGAACTTAGTTTGAAGCAGCTTCGAGATGTTGGAGAAATTGGGACCAGTGTGCAAGAGCGCAATATACTCAGGCATTCAGACCTTTCAGCATTCTCTAGGCATGTGATTCAACTGTTACTAAAACTCAATATCCTGAAGAAACTACAGTTGCTAATTGAATCTCTTCACATGCAGGTATAATGCTCCTGCTTCAAATGCTAATCAGGCTCCAACTGGGAATGTGGGCAGCTGTTCACCAGTTAATAATAGCTCAGAAGTTGCAAAAACAGAATCACTGAATAACTTGCGTTCAAAGTCAAGCAGTACCCCTAACCAGCGCTCAAATGGAAGTAGTAACAACAATGACATGGGCTCCTCGACAAATAATTTCTTTGTCAAACAAGAAACATTAACTGACAAGCCAATAACCAAACCTGCAGTCAATGCCCATACCTGTTCCGCATTTCAACCAGTGCAACATGGTCATAATTCTTCTCTTCAACCTATGGTTCCAGGAAAACAAGATGCTGCAAAGGCAGCCCTGGCCCAAGCAAGGGCGATGCAGCAGCAGGTCCAAGTTCAGCACCACCATCATCACTACCATCACCATCACCACCATGTACTTGACCTGAAGCAGCAACAACAGCTGCTTGACACTGATGATTCGACCATGAGAAATGCTGTTGGAGCTGCTCCAAATTTCGGAACATCTGACATGGTAGGAACTCCTGTTGAAGGAGACGCTGCTAATTATGGAAGTGCATCAGGAAGTAACAATGGAAGCAATGGGCAAAATGGAAGCAGTGGCCAAAATGGTAGCAGCACTGCTCTAATTGCTGAAGGAACAAATTTGGTTGCTGAAAATGAAGCGGGTGAAAAATGTGAAATTGGCAGCGTGAGTGGAAGTGCAAGCAGAAGTGATCACTCGGCTCAAAGAGTGGCTGCTTTGATTAAATTCCGGCAAAAGAGGAAGGAGAGGTGCTTTGAGAAAAAGGTAATTGTGACTGGATCATTTCTATGATTGCAATACATGATTGAAGTCCTGCTTAGATCTAACCAGATTCTGTAGTTTGTCGAAATCCCACTTAAGCTTCTTTTTATGCCTTTCAGCATACCTATTCCCATTACTTTTTTCTTTATTTTTCCTTTTTATCATAGTACATTCTTGCATTCAAAAATTTTCACATGAAGTCAACGATGCAACTTTGCCTGCTACGTCTAATCAGTGAAATGATAAGTTTTTTACCATTTAAACTTTGATTCAAACTGTTTAGCATTTCTTGGTGTTGAAGCAATTGAACAGTCAATAAATGACAGAGCAAAACTTATCTGGATTATCTTTCCATATATTTTAGGTCCGGTACCAAAGTAGAAAGAGACTCGCAGAACAGAGGCCGCGTGTGCGAGGGCAATTTGTGCGTCAGGATGCAGACAAAAATAAAAGCAATGATGATTCCTGACCCCTGCCGTTATGCTTAGATGGTACATGTGAAAATGAGTTCAAGAAGCTTTAGCTTTGATCGCCAAAGGTAGGGAGGAAGCAGTTTGGTTCCAAAGCTAAAATTTATTTAGTTGAGGTATTGCTGTCTTGTAATAATTGCTTATTGGAGATCATATTAATTGGGGAGTCCTATGAAGACATCTTTGTTATATAGTCGGTTTGAAGATACTTATATTTGGACTTGTAGATGTTGGGATCCCCTAATAAAATGCTTCAATGTGCTGTGTTTTCTGGTGTGCTCAAAACTGCTTTTCCAAAGTCCCTCGTGTACTGTTTGTGTTTCATTTTCATATTACTTTTATCCACATCTCATTTTATACTCGAGGATGTTTAGTTCTTTGAAACAGTTGACTTTAGTTTCTGAAGGGTTCCACACAAAACTGAAGTAAAGTACAGACCTATTTCTCAGAATTAACTCTTGTTCGAAGGGCAACATCACTAGGAGGAAAGTAGGTTTTTGGTTTGTTTTCTTAATTATCTTTTGGCTTTTCGAGATTGTCAGTACATAATTACTGTTTCCTATACGGGGAGGAAGGATATAGCCCGTTTGGCCAAGCTGCAAAAATCAGCTTATTTTGAGAAGTTCTTTTCTCATAAGTACTCTTGGTGATAAGCAGTTTGTGTTTGGCTAATTAGTTTGAAAAGCACTTCTGAGCAGCAATTAGTATTTGGCCAAGCTTTAAAAAATTGTTTCTAAGTGTATTTTTCTCAAAAGTGCTTTTGGAGAGAAGCTGTTTTTTTCTGCTTCTCAAAAACTGCTTCTGCTTCTCCTCAAAAGCATTTTTTTTCCTTCCAAAAGCTTGGCCAAACACCTCAATTTTTGGCCAAAAGTGCTTTTGGCAAAACAAAACAAAAAACACTTTTGGCCAAACAGGCTATTAAGATGTCCAGAACCTCACCTGTTAGTGAAATAATGTGCTATCACTAGGGGATAAGGTTCTGTGGCTGTTTATTCTCAAGTTTTTCACTCTTTGGCAGACCATAAAATGAAGTGTAATATGGACAGTAAAACACTGGTAGCGACAATGCAAGAAAACATCTCTGAGGAAATATTATATTTCCAAGGCTTAGAGTTACCTCTCAAAGATTTGATAGGCCACCAGCTGAAAGCAGCATTGAAATCCCTAACAGGAAAACGTACGGTCTATAGAAAAAGTAATAAGAGTTTAATAAATTTAATTTAATTTAATAAATGGAAATTTTATACTACAGCACAAGATATAAGGTATAAGAAAGTTTGGGTATTGTTGAAATCTTTTGGCATTCTTTCTTCCATACCAAAAATCAAGTTTTGCCAGAAGAATCTCCTGATTGTTAAGAACCCAAACAACAATTTCAAGGAAATCTAGCAAAATTTGTTATTCCAGATCCTGACCAAAAAAGTTGTGCTTTCTTGATTTGGTTAAAACCTGTGCTACACAAACTGACGTAGTATTTGAGTACATACATACCTTCTATTCTATACAAATAAGTACCCTTCATCATCCAAACCCTCCTATTGGCCAACACCTGTTAAAAGGCATAGGCATAATCCAACATTCGAAATTTAACATTATTGGATGATAAATATCTACTTATCTTATGGTAGTGCAAGAAACTTTAATAAAAGGAAAAGAAGTAACCCCGTTCATTACTTTTTTCAGTGTTTATCCTAGCTAGCTAGCCTATGTAAACACAAATCTTTTTACATGAACATAGTAATAAGAATTAAGAAGTAGCATCACATACATAGCTTTTGGCTCAAAGGCTCTGATTAAGCAGATGAAAAAGAAAAGAAATCACGTATCGTACATTGATGCATTGACGTACCTTAGCTTACCCCAAGAAAAATTCAATTTGGAGGACTAACATTCTGGCTTTTCTCAGTTTATCAGTGAAGGAAAAACTAAATGTATTTCTCTCTTGTTCCTTTTTTTTTTTTTCTCAGGAAATGTAAGCAAAGTAGAGGACATGAGATTATGGCCAAGATCTGCTATTAAGAAACAGATTAAACGTGTCCTGTGAAATAGGGGAGCAAAAGTAGCATCACATGACGAATTACAGCGAGCATTATAAATATGTTCTATTTTTTAGGGAACAAATAAGCAAATTCTAAGGAATTAAGCTACACGCATTTGAACAATTCATATAGAGACTAAAATGTCGCGCACGCGGTTAAAACGATTAGAAGCATTGTTCAATGGTGACGTAAATGCAATATTTAAAAGCACCAAGCTACTTATTGAAATGTTGTTCGGTTATTTTCTTTTAAGAATAAATTTTACATTGGATAAAATTATAATTTTAGTTACTTAGGATTTTAAAATCAACTAGAATTTGATTTATAAAGTTTTCCTTATTTAAAATACCTTGGAAGTCCCATGATTTTAATACATTAAGATTTTGCCTCAATCTTTTTTTTATTTGAACCATAAAAATAAAATAAAAAATATTAGGAAAAGAATTATATACACCATGAAATGGGTACTCGCCTTGCACGAACAATAAAGGGCTAAAGTATTACGACAACATATTAGCATATAAGCCAATTGACTATCGGAACATGCAATCGAGTTAATAGTTTGTGCCTCGGCCTTTTCTAAACCATATAGCCTCAACGATGATGAATATATTAAAAAACTAATACGTTTTTTGTGAATTTTGGTCTATTTGACCTACAATTTTGTTTATTAAATTCTTGCTTCTATTGTGAAAAGAATTTTCTTATTTAAACGGTATAGAAAATCTTAGTATTTAAGATTTTAAATCAATTAGGATTTTATCTTATACTATTGTAATCACTATCTTTCAACTTGTATTTCACCAAACTATATTGTGATCGTTGAGTAGACTAATTTGCTTCTTATACAATTTAACCAAATTATTTTGTTCAATCTCGTTAAATGACCGTAATTTCCTTTTGAAATATTGAAAAGAAAAACTTTCAGACCCTCCAAGATTGTCACATGAATTTTTACTTTTATTTTATAACTTAAATATAATTTTTTAATAAATATTTACTCATTGAGATAGACGTGCATCGCGCGTACATTAAGCACGAATGTCACTAGCAAAATATTGTTCGTCTTTATTATCCTTTTAAAATAAAGTTAACACATAACAAAATAGTCATTTAATATTTTCCTAATATTTAGGACTTTAAAGTCAACTAAAACTTACTTATTAAAGTTTCCCATATTTGAAAGACTACATAGGGAATCCTAATATTTAGGACATCAAAATCAATTAAGTTTACCTTATATAATTCAAATAATTTATTTATATTTTTTCTCATATTCTACGTAGATAAAAATTAGGATGTGCATTTGATAAAGTATTTCTAAGCTCTATTCGCTGTAGTACACTTTTCTCCAAATAAAAAATTTAAACGATACATCAATTTATATAATTATTTACTTGAAAATATACTTATGTCATTAAGTGTAGTTCATATTTTTTACTATCTATAACTTTAAGCCATTCTATCCATTTAAAAATCATGAGAGCCATGTAAAATTTAAGATTCAAGTTTTAAAATAATGTGGGACAATTATTTGGAAAAATAATGAAAAACATAATTATAGAGCTCATTGTAGTTGAAAAATAGGTGAAATACTCTTAACTTAATCGTTGGATAAAATTATAATTTAATTGTTTATTTAATATTTAAAATTTTTAAATCAACTAAAATTTTAATTATTAAACAAATCTTTATTTGAATTATGTAGGAAATTCTAATATTTACAATTTTAAATCAATTAAAATTTTAGCTTAAATAAATTATTTACTTATTTGAATTATGTACGATAACTATAATACATTTCATTTTAATTTTTTTTAATATTTGAAACTTTAAAATCAACTAAAACTTTATTTATTAAACTTTTGTATAATATTTGAAACTATGCTCCATAATTATTTCGACCTGCAAATATCATCTATTCTAAATTTGTAGAATTACTCAAATTGTAAAACAACATACAATCAATATTTATTTTGTTATTAATGTATACAAAATTCAAACAATAAGGATAAAACATTAAAAGATAAAATATATTCTAAATGAGTTATTATTAATTATTTTTCTTTCTTTTTGCAAATATTTTAAAAAATGATAGCTTTCTATATTTTTCATATTAATTTATTATTATAAATTATTAACTTAATATTAGTCATTTTTAAAGTTTAAATTTTTACTTATCAACTCTTTTTTGTAGGAGCTATTAGCCTATAAGCAAACCTCATCGTGATAAAAGTAATAGTTTTACTTGTTTTTTTTTTTGGGTATTAAGGCATAAAAATAACAATAATTTTAATAAGATAATCTTATAAATTTATGAGGACTTTCATTGGGCTGGATTTGGGATCAACATATATATTTTTTTAGAAATTTATAATATATTTTATTTTTATTATAACTCAAGATTATCGTCTAATACTACTTATGTAATTTTTTTTATAAGTATCTACTTATTGGGAAACACACGCAAAGTCTGTACCTAAGACTAGTTTAATTAAAATGATGATTAATGTTGGACTAATTTTTTATTGAAAAAATAGGGTTTTTTCGCTTTTAACCTGCGCCAACAACTATTCACATTTGGTAGCCGAAAAAATATATAAAAATTTGTGTGTGTATATATATAGTTAGCTATTATTTTGAGAATGACTATATAATGTTATTTTTCCTACATTATATTGGGCTATATATTCGAATGGGCCTCTATTGACCCATTGATGAACCTTAACCCTTTTTCCATAGGTATATCAGATGAGAAATTCAAAAATAGCCAAATTTATAAGTGGTCATTCAAAAATAGCCACAGTTTCAAAAGTAATCGAAATTTAACCATTTTTATTGTAAAGATAAATCTGAACGAAAATACTGTTCAAAATCCGGATAATACTCCAGCATAATATATTGGAGTTCCAGCATAAGTATACTGGAACTTCAGTATATTATAATGGAGTTCTAGCATAAGTATACTGGAAATTCAGTATAATATACTGGAGTTCCAGTGTAATATATCGGTCCAGTATAATATGCTGGAAGTTCATACACAGGTGCTTCAATATCAAGTATATTATGCTGGAACTTTCCGCGTGTTGGAGTTACAACATAATATGCTGGAAGTTCATACACAGGTGCACCGATATCCAGTATATTATGTTGGACCGGTCCCTGTTGCAGCAAAATAGTAGTTATTTTTCAATGACTTTGCAAATGCTGGCTATTTTTGAATGACCGGTCCGAAAATTGGTTATT